TTTTCAACGAACATCTATTATAAACTTTCTATTCACCAGGCTCTAAGTCTGGCCCTGGGACTAAAAGAATGAATAATTCACAGTCTATGCCTTTAATGCACTCACAAACTAAAGAGAGAAACTGAAAAAAAAATTAAGGATTTTTAAGAATTGAGAAGCAAAGATGGCATTTAATCAATAATTCATCTCATTAGATTTAGAAAGCATAAATATTTTGTGCAAGACACAGGCAACCAAATTTTATAACATTCTTGTTCTTTTGTGTTTGCTATCCCTGAGAAAAGCAAGTTTAAGCTTTGTGAATAAATTAATAGACAACCCTGCCATCTAAGTGTAGGTAACACAATTGCAAGAGAAATATCTGGGGGAAAAAATCCATACATCGAGTAGAAATGATTTGTAAAACCTAATACAAAAGTGTCAGAAAATATGTGTTATTTCTTCACCAAACAAATGTTTTTTGAGTACATAGTGGGTCAAAAGGAAAAACAGCAGCACGGTTGCTTTCCTGGCTGTCGCTTCATTGTGCATGAGATAGATGATGGAGACACATTGCTGGCTTTAATATGCAGGACAGGAAGGCCTGTGATAGGAAAAGTAGGGTCAGGTGACAGACAGTGTCACAGGTTGGAAGAGCTATTTTAAGTAAGGAAGTTCAGGGGTTGAGGAAGGCTTTTTTCAGGAATTTGAGCTGAGAATCAAAAAAAATTAGGGAGTGGGCCATGACAAGATCTGGAAAAACACATTCCAGGAAAAGGAAAGAGCAGATCCTTTAATAAATAAAGATCCTGGTATAAGACCATGCCTGATATGTTGAAGGAATAGTAAGTGCATTGAACTGTGCGGAAGAGGAGGTAAGTATAGTCCTGGAGGTAGTTGGGTACCCAACCTGGTTGAATCTTGGAGGCCATAGCAAAGAATTTGCATTTTATTTAAATCCCTCAAGCACTTAAAGCCATGAGACGGGATGAAATTACCCGAGGAGTGACCTCAGAGGGAGAGGAAGACCTATGACTAAGTCCTGGCTGACTCTGATATTCAGAAATAAGGAGCCGGCAGAGGAGGCTGAGCGGCAGCAGCCCAGAAGGCAGGGAAGCAGAGCAGAGTCAGGACGATGGAGGAAGGAGGTGAAAGCTCTTCCAAGGAAGGCGGGTCACCCGTCTCAAACACCGCAGGGGCCACCACCACTCCCGAAACCACACATCCCCACCTGCGCTCCCCAGTCCACACTGCTCTCATCCTTAGCCGTCGCCCCGCCAGAGCCACATCCTCAGGGCTGGATTCAGATTGGGAGTGCCTCCTTCAGAACATATTGCTCAGAAGATGGAAACATCTCAGAGTTCTCATTTGCCTCTGCCTTCCTTCCACGGCTTATGCCTCTCTCTGTGGTTTCTTTTCAACAGAGGAATTTAGATGACTCAGAATGATGAATCCCATTTAAACTGGCCTATGACTTTAGGCAGTACCCTTGGTGACCTCTTTAACGAGCTAAGAATACCCAGGACCATCCTCTGCTTTCTTTGACAATAAAAGTATTACTACACTGCAGTCAAGTATGGTTTCTCTTAGAGAAAATTAACACTGTTTACATTTCAAAAGCAATCAGTATAATTTACCACATTAATAAGCCAAAAATTAAACTGTTTGATAATTCTAGTGGATGCAGAAATTGACTTTGGACAAAATCAGGTATTCATCCTGGATTTTAGGGGGGAAAAAACAATTCTTAATGAACTAGGAATCAGAGGGAACTCCCTTAACCTGGTAAAAAGTCATCTGTGCATAATGAAAGCTGAGAGACTGAAAATTTCCCTAAGGTCAAGAACAGGAAAGGGATTTTCATTCTCATAATTTCTCTTCAACATTTTATTGGAAGTGAATAAGTCAGCCAGAGAAAGAAAAATACTATCTGATCTCACTTATAAGTAGAATCTAAAAAACTCAAACTCACAGAAATAGATATTTGTGGCTTCCAGAGGCAAAGGATAGAGGGTGGGGGCACTGGAGTTGCGGGTGAAGGGTGGTGGAACTGGGGTAGGGGTGGTCAAAAGGCACAAGCTTCCAGCTGTAAGACAAATAAGTCCTGGGGATGTAATGTACAACATGGTAACTACAGTTAATGACACTGTTCTGTATCTTTGAAAGTTGCTAATAGACTACATCTTACACCTTCTCATCACAAGGGAAAAATTTCATAACTATGTCAGGTGATGGGTGTTAAGTAATTGTAGCAATCATTTCACTATATATACATATATCAAATCATTTTGTACTCTTTAAATTTTTGTCATATGTCAGTTATATCTCAAAACTATAAAAATTAAGTAAATAAATAAAAATATTAACTAAGACATGTAAGACAGAAGAATATCCCAGAGGCTCAGTACCCAAGGAGAACTCATGGTAGCAAATTTGGATTAAGCTCAGTTCAGTAGCTCAGTTGTGTCTGACTCTTTGTGACCCCACGGACTGCAGCACACCAGGCCTCCCCGTCCATCACCAACTCCCGGAGCTTGTTCAAACTCATGTCCACTGAGTCGGTGATGCCATCCAACCATCTCATCCTCTGTTGTCTTCTTCTCCTCCTGCCTTCAATCTTTCCTAGCTTCAGGGTCTTTTCCAAGGAGTCAGTTTTTCGCATCAGGTGGCCAAATTTGGAATAAAAAACAAAATAAACCTTGCATTGATGTTTCAAGCCAGTGCAACAAGGCAAGAAAAAGCAAACAAAGGCTGATTTGTGAATCCAAATCTCTTGGCCACCAGTGCAATTTTTCTTAATATTTTTCTTACACAAATCCACTCAACATTTTTCTAAGATTTTTATGTCATCATAATGAAAGTTTCTCAAGAAAAGAGATGACATGAGATTGGGTAAACTCCAGGAGCTGGTGATGGACAGGGAGACCTGGCGTGCTGCGGTTCATGGGGTCACAAAGAGTCGGACATGACTGAGTGACTGAGCTGAACTAAACTGAATGAAAATTTCTAAAGTTCAAAAGATACTATCCATTTAATCTAGGTGCTTCATTTTCTCACATACAACTACGAGTATGTGAGTTGTATGTGCTGCACTTGTTGCAAAGTACTAGCACATCAGGGCTGCAAAATATATGGTGTTGACGGCTTCCTCTCTCCACAGACTGAACTTTTATCTTTTCTCTACTATGTAAAAGGAAAAAGAAAAATGCAATAGCTGTAAATTTCAGATTGAGTGATTATATAGGATAGGTGATTATATAGGAGATAGTGACTATATAGGAGATCACAGCAAGAGACTGTGTTTATGACAATGAAGAGCTCAGGCATGGAGCCGCACTCTAGCATGTGCTTCCTGACCTTGGGACAATTGCTTTAAGTCTCAGGTGCCTCATCTATCTGTAAACAGGGATAATAATAGAACATGCCTCATAGAGTTGTGGTATTAGATTAGATAAGTCCTATACCAAATATCATGCATGGGCTTCCATGGTGGCTCAGTGGTAAAGAATCTGCCTGCCAGTGCAGGAGATGCAGGTTCAATCCCTGGGTCAGGAAGATTCCTTAGAGAAGGAAATGGCAATCCACTCCAGTATCCTTGCCTGGAAAATCCCATAGATAGAGGAACCTGGTGGGCTATATAGTCCATAGGGTACAAAGAGTCAGATGTGACTTAGTAGCTAAACAACAACAACAAGAAATAGCAAATATCATAATTCCTGTAAGGCAAAAGCTGTCTAACAAATACGCTATCTATCTATCTAAATCTATCTATCTATCTGTCTACCTACATAATCATCATCATCATTAATGTTATTTTTATTATTCAAAATCCACAGAAACAACAAGAAGAAAAATGATGCCAACATAAATAATAAGCTTTGGAAAATTCCTTTGGATCAAGATAGTAGTTGTATCTATAGATAGCCTTTTGGTTTTCCAGATATTTTTGCTTCATGCCTCAAGTATCTGTTGTACCAGACAATGCCAATTAATTACAAAATCTGAAGTCATTATCAACTGGTTGTTAGGTGCCTTCTCTCTCTTGAAGTTTATAGAGTTTTTATGACTTACTTCCACCAACACAACTTGAAATTTATTGAGTTGTTAACACTAAACAAAATGAATTTTAATTTAAGATTCAAAGTTTTATTTCCAGTTAAATTACCAGATTAAGCTAGAGCTTCAGGGAGTTTCCGTTCAAGTTGAGGGATACAGATGAAAACAGGTGAACAAATAAAAGAACTGAGTGTTGATGGCAACTGTGAAGAAGGAAGCAGGCTGAGGAAGAAGCCTTAAAGAGAGTGAAGTGACTATTTTATAAAGTAGTCCAGGGAGGGCCTATATGACTTCCCTAAACAGATAACATCTAACAGGCAATCTGAAATGACTTGAGAAGTATTCCAGGCAGAGAAAAGGGCAAATACAAAGCTTCTGAGGCAGGGGTATGCATAGCACTGTCCAGGAATAGCAAGAAATCAGTGTGACTGAAGGGGGTGAGTGGGTAGGAGAGTGATAAAACAAGGTAATAGCTCAAGTTCAGTATTATGGTGAAATCAGCCACTTCAAAGCATTTCTGAAAAAAGGAAAGGAAGATAAAAGAAAATAGCCTTAATAATATCACTGCACTATTTTTAACATAATGTAGAGAGATGGTAGTCATAAAGTTAACGTAAGAAAAGGTCTTAATATTCTCTCCACTTTTAGTCTAACATAACTGTTTATCTTTTGGAAATTGTCACGTGAACATGCTTTCTCTCACCAAAACCCTCAGTAACAACTCAAACATTAACTTCTAAGATGATGATATTATTTTATCTTATTAAAACATGTCAAAGACCACATTTACTTCATTAAAATATTTTATTCAAAATAATTATAATATTTTTGAATTTTGAAAGCTTGGACCTGCTCCTAAACTTTGACAAAATTTTATGTTTGAGTCCCTACATAGCTGTGAACATTGAGTTATGACATAGAATAGGTCTAAGGGAGATGAAATAACTTCTGTGGGTGTCACACCACTAAAAGATTAAACCTAGAGAGTACTTTGCCTTCTCAACAACCTTCTTGAATGCACTCTTGACTTCTCTGTTCCGTAGGCTGTAGACCACAGGGTTCAGCATGGGGATGAGCATCGTATAGAACACAGATGCGATTTTGTCTGTGTCCATGGAGTGGCTGGAGCTGGGCTGTAAGTACATGAAGATGACGGTCCCGTAGAAGACGGAGACAGCAGTGAGGTGGGAAGCACAAGTAGATAAAGCCTTCTGGTATCCTTCACCTGATTGCATCTTCAAAATGGTGGTAAATATGAGCAAGTAGGAAATCAAAATAACAAGAAGTGCGGAAAAGATATTAAAGCTCGAAATAAGAAAAAGAATCAGCTCATTAATGTGTTTATCTGAACAAGTCAGAGACATGACTGCTGGAATATCACAGAAAAAGTGATGGACGACATTGGACATACAAAAAGAGAGACAGAATGTGTCCGCAACATCGATAGCAGCAGTCAGAATACCAAAGATATAAGAGCCTATGGCCAGACATGCACACACACTTGTGGTCATGGCGCTGGTGTAATGGAGGGGCTTGCACACTGCTGCGTAGCGGTCATAAGCCATCGAGGCCAACAGGTAATTTTCCACAGTGGCAAAGGCTACGAAAAAGAACATCTGAGCCGCACACGCATTGTAGGAGATGACCTTGTCTCCTATAAGGAGCCCAGCCATCACCTTTGGAGTGATGGTGGAGGAGGAACAAAAGTCCACCAGAGACAGGTTACAGAGGAAAAAGTACATAGGCGTGTGGAGACGAGGGTCCAGCAGGGTCAACGTGGTCATCCCCAGGTTCCCAAGCAGAGTGAGGAGGTAAGTGAAGGTGAAGATTACCAAGAGAGGAACCTGCAGCTGTGGGTCATCTGTGAGTCCGAGCAGGATGAGATCAGCTCCCTCCGTATTATTTTCCATGAATGTGATTTGAGAGTCACAAAATGCTCTGTAGCAAAGAGAAGTAACGGAGCAGATGCATGAACAAAAAGCAGCTGCACAGAAGTTGAAATGCACAAGTATTATTTTATTAGAACAATCAGTTTTTCATCAGCATTTACCACTTTTGTGACATAGGCATGACAGCACAGTTCGGTGATATCTTATCTACACAGTAGTAGACTTATGAAGAGGAAGGGTCTTTATGGATCACCTTCTCAAGTTCTTGTTTTTGTATATGAGTAAACTGCGTTGCAGCTAGAACTAGTTTTCTAAGTTCATATGCCGACAGTGAATCCATCTCCTAAATCAGATCTTTTGAGTCTTCTAATAGTTTACATTTCTATAGTGCTCACTTATTGGATGCTTTATATGTACATATTCTTTTAATTCTCTTATCAATTCTGTGATTGATTAGTTATTTTTCTCATTGGTGTATATGGCAAGTTGACAACAAAGAGACAGAATAATTTACTCAAGTTTACACAGATGTTATGCTCTTAATGAATAAAGTCAAGCTTTAGACACTGAGTGATGCTCAACCTAAATGCCACTAAAATTTTTGAATTGATTTTCACTTCATTCAGTTTACATTTAGTTATCTTTACTGCCCTGAGTTTAACACTTGGAGTAGTATGGTTGATTTACACACAAATAAATGCACAGTAGATAAGCTCATTTAGATGTGGGCTAAATGCAGGATTAGAGGTATATGCAACAAACAAAGCCAGATCTGAAGATAAGGTGCAGCATTGGGTAGGGAAGCTTTACTCTGATAAAACATGTGTAAGACATAGCAGACCTACAATTTACTACCTAGGAGACACTGGTCCTAACTTATCCCTGTATATCATTTTATCTGTCAGAAAATGAAGGTGGTGTTGAGACCTACCTTAAAGGATTATTGTAAAAGTGAAAAGAAATGATGCATGAAAACAGCAGCATGTGGGTCTGAAACACAATTATGATGAGTGCTAGCTATAATATGGATTGGCATAGATCAGTGGGTCTCTGTGTTGGTTTAGGAAATTCAGGAGACAGACACAGACGGGTAGGCTTTGAAGTCCAATAACCCTAATCTTTAATATGCCTTTTCCTACATACTGTTCACTCGGATACTTTGCTTCACCCTGTATTTCTCAGTCTGTCCTCTTGGCTGGGTCAATCATTTTGGGTGAGAACTCAGGCATCTTCAAATCCTCTTTTTGTTAATGTCTTTCTTGAGATCTACAGTTTAGCTTGTGTTGAAAGTGCTCTCCTATCTTAGACTCGATCTTGCTGTCATTCTTGACAATAGTTAGTTGGAAAATAGATAGTGAGGTGTGGAGGGGTGAAAAGTTATAGTTTGGAGGGTGAGACTAACCTGCATATCTGTGAACAAGCACAGATCTTTGTATTTCAAAAGATTTGAGAAAGGAACCCATTCTTGGTAACCACCACTCTCTACCATCTTCCTCTCAGTCCTGAAACACACTATTTTACATGTCTGCTCCTTAAATTATTTGTGTTTGTCAATACCTTACTCACACAATAAAATAAGATGTATATAGATGTAAATCTATATATCAACACACACATGTAAATCCCTGTATTCTATGATGACTAACAGATCTCCTAAATTAGTTAACAGCTGAAATTTACTACTTACTTGTAATTTGTTTCATAGATGGAGAGATAGATATATAGATAACAGATGGTACTGATAATAGATGATAGATAAATGAATAGATATTAGCAGAAAGATACAGACTGCATGCACACACACTCACACACACACAATCTAATTTACAGTTAAAATGTGACTTCTTAAAATTTGACAAATAGTATGAGCTATCCAACATACAAACTCAAGTCTAATTGATCCCAATGCCTGTACATTCATTCAATCACTGCATTGCCAGATTTTTCTAGATAAGCAAATAGTGAAAGGATGAGATTGTGGGGAAATGATAGTGAAAATGCAGTAAGGATCTTGGTACTTTCATGATGTACCAAAAACTTTATGGTTTTTAAAGAAGTGGCATTGCACCCTGTTTGGCTATCTGTCCCTTCAGTGACAAGTTAACATGTGATAAACAAAAGGAATTTGTAACCCGCTCAATCAGCCTATCACCTATTGTAGGGCTTTGCATGAGGACTTGCTCAGTAGCTTCAGTGGTGTCTGACTCTTTGCAAACCTATGGACTGTAGCCCATCAGAGACTCCTCTGTCCATGGGATTTTCCAGGCAAGTATACTGGAGTGGGTTACCATCACTTCCTCCAGGGGATCTTCCCTACTCAGGGATGGAACCCACATCTCCTGAGTCTCCCGTATAGCAGGCAGCTTCTTTATGGCCGAGCCACTGGGGAAGGCCATCATAGGTCTTTCCACTTAAGGAAAGCAGCCTGGAGGAGGGCGTGGCAACCTCTTCCAGTATTCTAGTCTGGAGAATCCCCAGGGCCAGAGGTACTTGGTGGGCTACAGTTCACGGGGTCGCAAAGAGTCAGATAGGACAGCGATTAAGCACAGCACAGCACAAGGAAAGCAGCATGGAATTTCATAAATATTAATTTACTCTCTGCTGGTTAAAATGTTATGCATTTGAACTCTGCACTTATGCCAGTGTTTCAGAAAAAGTGCTCAAACAACTAGGTATGAGGTCAAAGACTCAGAGAACATGTAGGTTTTTCACTGCTTCTGCATCAGTTGCATTTTTCATTAGAAGTGTATATTGAATATAGATCCTTACCTTGCTGTTGGAAAGAAGGAAAAGACAATACTGAAATGTGAATCTGAAATCAGAAATTCAGCCTTAGAAGAATGTATAAATAACACAGGAGAAATTCTTTTTTATGTAATGGTCAAAAAGTTCCAAGTTCCTTGAAGCTGAAGAGACAAAGAGAAGATCATTACCCCCGAGCTAGAAGCCTGGATTTAAGTATTACACCTACTGTGGATTTTTCTGGGTACTCAGAAAAGTATTTGCCTTCTGTGGATCTTAATTTTATTTGTGATACAGAGATAATAAAATTCTCTCTCCCACACACTTTGCAATTTTTTTTTTCTGTAACAGATGAAAGTAATATCTTAAGACGGGTTTAACTTTTTCAACATGAATAAATTTAACTTTTATCTTACAGTGTTTTCCTTGCCTATGGTTTCAGACTCTCTGCAAATATTCAGTTGGGGAAGAAGCTGGTATATGCTAAAAGTATAAACATTCATTTCAACAAGTGATGACCAAATGGGATCTGTGTATAGTCTGGTCCTTTTAAGACAATGTCAAGTGGAGTCAAGATGGGATTTCAGAGACTAATGAATGAGAAAAAGAAGAAAATTGTACAGGCATGCGTCTCTCAGGAGAATAGGGCACCTGTGAGGGCCCAACTGTGTGCAATCCCTTCTCCTCATCCCACTTGATACAAAGAAGAAGCAATTAAACTGTGTGCAGGGACACAATTGACATGTTCAATAGCACATGCATTTGCAATCTTGATATCTTTTCTTCTTCCATTTAAAAAATTAAGATCAAGAGTATAAAAATTGCATTTATTTTGATTTTTGATACTTGAAATATATTTCTAAAAATTAATTTGTTTTTTATCTCACATTTTTATTATGTTTTTGTCCTTTCTATTCTTTTATGTGCTACAACTAAATGTTAGGCTACTAGAAATGTTAAGAAGTTGATAAATAATATCTGTGTTTTCCCAAGTTTACCAACGGCAGACAAATATCATGCGTGTCAGAGAGAGAATATATTATGCCTTAATTCCAACAAGTCAATCTGAAAGTTAGATCTGTAGTCAGAGGGATTTCTTTTCTCCTCCAAATTGCCCTCCTGGAGGTTCTCTGATGGTGCTCCTCTAGGCACTCACTGTCCCTGTACAGAAGGTGCACTGGATTGAAAATATTTCAAAGGAAATTCTAAAAGTTTCTGAAAAGCAAAATGAACTTGTCAGATGACAGCAACTATTTACGTTGCATTTGCATTGTATTAGGTATTTTAAATAATCTAAACATGATTTAAAGTAAATGAAAGAATGTACATATGCAAATGCTACACCATTTTATATAAGGGTCTTGAGTGTATGTATATTCTGGTATCTGGGTGATCCTTAGAACCAATCCCCTGCTGATATGTAAAGATGACTATATTTCACTTTGGGGGTGCTAATATAAAAAATCTTGCCTTTTAAATGTCAAATTCCACTTGCTCATTGCCAGTACATAGAAAAGTGATAAAATTTTGCATCTCAACCTTGCATCTTATAGCCTTGCTAATCATTTATTAGTCCCAAGAGTTTTTTGTCTATTCTTTCTGATTTTCTACATAAATGATCACATTATCTGTGAACAAGGACAGTTTCTATTTCTTCCTCCCCCAGTCTATCTCCCTTTTATATCACTTTCTTATCATATTACACTAGCTAGGACTTCCCGTACAGTGCTAAGAGAAATGATATAAAAGGACATTCCTGATCTTAGTGAGAAATCTTTTTTCTCACCATTAGGTACAATGTTAGCTGCCGACGTTTTGTAGGTAGTCTCTATCAAGTTGAGCTAGCTAAGCTTTTTTATTTTGTTGTTATTAAGTTGCTCTCTCATGTCTGACTTTTTGTGCATGGACTGCAGTACACCAGGCCTCCCTGTTCTTCACTCACTGGAGTTTGCTCAAATTCAAGTCTATTAAGTCGGTGATGCCGTCCAACCATCTCATCCTCCGTCACACTCTTCTCCTCCTGCCTTCAGTCCTTTCCAGCGTCA